TTACGGGGTTAGGGATATAAACATTTTTACTGACCACAAGCCTCTTACGTTCTCGGTATCCGAGAGCTATCCCAATGCAAAGGTAAAGCACTGATAAGCACGCATTGATGAAAAAGGGGCCAAGCCCCTTTTGTCGCGCCAGAACGTGAACTTTTTACAGGGTAACCGCGATGAGCCAAAATCTGACGCGGCTACGATTCACAGTGAATTGTCCCTGTCTTACACAATCGATTCGACGCAAAAGCCTCTAAAGTGCTTCCGGAACCAGATGGTATTAGAAGAGGCACGCTTTCATCTAAAGAGGAATTTCATACTATTCTTTGTGCATCGAAAAAAAGGTTGAGGAACGGCCCTCATTGAGGGGAGGGTGGTCCACATGGACAACGTCCGTTGAATTTAAAGCACAATTCTTTCATTACCATTTTCACATCAGTAGTTTTAACAGTTTAGGATTACGTTAACCATACTTTCAATCATGTCCATGACAACGGCACGGACTACTCGCACGCGGACTAAATACCGATTATGGATGGGGACATTCTACTTTGGGACAGTGACGGATACTAACCAATCTCACGGACTATATCACAATGACGGAGGAGACTATGAAACTGACGGGAATGTTTCCATGAGGAAACTGCTGGAAATTGACGCTGGACATGTACTGGACATGTTGTCCGCTATCGATGTGCACCATCGCAAGGTAAGAAGCCTTGACTTCTTGGGAACAGCCCTTAAAGTTGTAGCGGGCACCCCGGATGCAAACGACTTCAGGAAAACAGAACTGACTAAGATGCAGCTGGTCACTGCAAGCAATAGACAAATTTCTATAAATTCTTGGCTGCAGGAAAAGATTAATCAACTGACCGATACTGTTAACAGAATTATTAAGTCCTCAAAAGATAAGAAGGCCGATACCAACCACCTCTTCGAAACCTTATGCACACGCAATAGCGCGATAACAGAAATTGGGAACCTTATGCTTACTTTAACCTTAGAAAAAATAAATGTAACAAACATAATAATAATAGATCATTCTGGTCTTATAAATATTTTCACTGACGAAACCACAGGGACCCCATTTACTGACATTTTGAAAGTATCTAATACTAAGGTAGAACGTAAAGCTAATGTAATAAGTTTCATAATCAAGTTCCCTATAATAAGCAAGCAATGCAGGAAGATAACAATTTTCCCTGTCCCCCACAATGGTTCTGTACTTCAACTCCACGACAATCTAGTGGCCGATTGCGACGGGCAGATGTTGGCCGTAGCCAATTGTTCATAAACTGCAAGCGGTCCAAGACCAGCAGTTGCGCACAAGGCCATGCAGGGGGTACACCCCATTGCCAAACTCAGCCAAATCATCTTGGCCCTGTCGCCATAGTGGACGACACCATCATCATAATTAATGATCGTAGCGCAATAAGACGACTGCGCCGCGATGAAGATAGATGGGACAGACCTTGTCGCCTTCTCGTCCCATGCCACCGTAAATGGCACGCGATACTTTTATCGCAAGAGCGTGCAAAATCGGTTCCCGGTAGTAGCGGCATCGCCGTTGCTAAACATCAGCAGCCACGACTCGATACTCAGCCTTTCCTACATTCACCGTCTGAGTGAAAATAACCTTAACTACATCAAAGAGCTTATACATTTACGATTTCCCTCGGCAAAATGCTGTTGGCCTGCGCTGCGTCAGCCGGAGTCCATAGGCTGACGATCAAACGTAGAAACTCCCTGAGATATTGGAAAACTTAAACGCGACTGAGGACGGTCGGTTTTCGAGAGGGGGGAGTAGTTAACCACTGACTATTGGTATTGACGTTGGGTCAGCGTTCTGGGGAAGCCAATGCCCAGAATCATGATCGCGCCGGATATGTCGCAACTATGTTGACGGCCGCGGAGGTCATCCGACACCGCACATGAGGCACTAACGGTGCACTTTTGAGAGAGCGGCGACGGCGGCTGTGCGTCAGCGGCGGCGACTTCGGGCCAGCGACGGCGTCTCTGCAGGCAATGCTTATATTAATTAAAATTGTATTCTTCAGTCTAAGTTTGGAAACAATAAAAGCATGACGTATCGTCCCTTGAAGTCTCCCTTTAGTTAACTCATTTTCTATATGCATTTCTTAATGCAACTGGTAAATTCAAAGTTGCAGACATAAATGCACTAATTTACACACGCACATTTAAATGATCCCTAAATATAAAGATAGAGCATTAAGAGCACTGAGAGTAAGTGGGAGGGAGATAAAAAACTAGCGATGCCGTTCTATAGCACAAATGATATGGAAGAGAGTAAGCCAAAGCAGTTTCCTGTAGTGTAAGCGAATAAAATGACATCATATCATATCTTACTCTCTTGCTCGCGATTTTGGACCAGATGTTTTCGAATTTGTTTTGCCCCCAATGGTTGTTCAGAATGTTCAGTCTATATGTTGTTTGCTTAGTGATATTACTAAAACACAATAACTGCATTTATAAATTCACTAATTTGCGCTGGCTGCCACTGACACGTTAGCACTCACGTTTTCTTTAATAACTTGTGTTTCTTATCCGATCTTAATGAAATTTTCAACAGTACATCCTTTTCTACTATTAAAAATTTGTATATTCTCATAAAGTCAATTGCAATCAAATTGTGGCCTAAATTCATGGGCAATACAAATTGGTTTATTTACTTGATTTGTAGGGGGTAGCGTGGAGATGGCGATAGTTACAATATGAAAGATACTTTAAATATACAGATACTATTCTATAAGCTACACGCTTGACCTAGTACTTTTGCTATCCTGACTACACAATAAACAAAGATCGACGCTACTGGAAGTACCAATAAAAAAACTAGATCAAGCTTTGCCGCGCCCGTTAGATCAAGGGATATTACACTCCTTCAAACTTAAATAAAGACGTTTATTAGTTAAAAAAAAAAAAAAGAAAGAATTGAGTGCCTTAAAGTCTATAATAGAGCTTTCTTAATTAGACGCCCTTCTCTTTTACAAATGCGCTTGAAAATAGGTTAAGCCAACCAAAATTCATAGGTACATCAAGAAAATTAGTAACCGTCCAATGCATAACAACGAAAATATTAACGCTTTGTTTATAATAATATTATTTGGTCGGGATTTTATAAACAAGATAAGCTATTCAATGCTCTTATCGAAGAAACAACTGAGGGTTAGTTAATCGAAATTTTATAAGTAAATTTCAACTGAAACTGCAGCAGATAAAAGTAAATATTCGCAGTTAGCATCTCCTTAAGAAGGCTTCTGTGCCATTAAGGCATTAGAAGACCGGACGGAATGACACGTTTATTACACCAGGCAGACGTGCTCTGGTCGATATTAAAATCGAATCTTGCAAAAAAAAAAAATTGGCGCCTGTTATACTTAACAGCCACGACAATAATTGAGTCTTAATTAGAAAAAAACGAATGCTATTTTATAGCTTTACAGAAAACAAAACAATCGCAATTGCCACGCTGTTTATAAAATTCAATGAAGTCACGCATGAATGTGTGTGTGTACATGCATACACAAATTCTTCCGATTTGCCCTGCTGCTGTAAGTACGAGGCCAGCCAAAATACATTTTCTTTTATAACTTTTGTGTTTCTCAACCGATCTTAATGAAATTTTCTACATTACGTCTTATCGTATTAGGGAATTGTTGTGTATTTTCAAAAATTTGCTTTTAAAATGTGGTTTATATTGGTTGACAGCATAAATTGGTTTATTTACTTGATTTAGGTGCTGATAGCTATAAATTTCTTCACGCGCGTCTTTATTTTGTTAACAGCAATGCAATTGCGATTGTATTGTTTTTTGTGCTGTGTGTATGTGCTGACATTTAATAGTGTGGTCGTTTACGAGGTCAAGTCTTATCGATGAAGCACTGTTTTTGCTTTTAATTTAGTTTTGTTACAGCTGAAGCAAACAAGCGCGTGTGTTTAGTATTATTAGAAGAGGGTTCACGGTATTCCCTAGTCGGGAGCACCCAACTAGAGCCTCTTACTTGTTTCTATACGTTTACTTATGCTAATTAACAATGTAAAGAAAAAAGTGCTATTCAATCGCTTAGAAACGGGGCAAGTTATCGATTATCGGAAACAAATTCGTATTGTGCGGGCAATCGGAAGACGTACGTCTAATATTTCTCTACCTCATAGATTCTGAAATCGACGCGTTCATACATACGGACAGATAGACGGACATGGCTAGATCGACTCGACGAGTGATGCTGATGCATTACACAGTACATTAAAAACAATGTAAATCAAAGAATAGAGAACGGTAGCCGTTTTTCATCGAAAAATGGTGGAGAAAATGAACATGTAGAGTTTTTTGACATTTGCAAAACTGAGTAATATTAGTGTTTTTTTTTTGGATTTGTTTTCTTTTTGCTGAAATTACATTTTGATAACAAGTAAGAGGTTCTAGTCGGGAGCTACCGACTAGGGGATACCCTGAACCCTCTTATTCCAACATCAAATGCATATATATATATTCTATTTTAGAAGCTATATGTCAAGTTTGGTGACTCCAGCTCTTATAATTTACCAAAATTGACCAAAAAACAGGATATCGATATCGATTTTTATCGATTGCTTGGAAACGGAGTAAGTTATAGATTATAGAGCATGTACATGGACGGACGGAGGGACGGACGGACAGACAGACGGACATGGCTAGACTTGGCTATTGGTGCTGATCAAGAATATATATACTTTATGGGGTCGGAGATGCTTCCTTATGCCTGTTACATACATTTGGATTTTGCACAAATACAATATACCCTTATACTCATTTTTAATGGGTTCAGGGTATAAAAATCAAGTTAAATATTGTTGAAAATATTTTTAGTTTTTGAGTTGTATAAGTATCTTACTATTCAATGTGTAATTCTTGAGATATTGTTTGTTTTCTTATAAGATAGAAAATGTTCAGAAATACGAGTATTCTTGTTTTTGGAAAATATGTTATAATAATCTTAACTTACTGAACTCGTTGTTAACCGCCTGTGACATAGCTTCGCTAAGCAAGTTGTAGGAACTTCTATGGTGCTGTTGGTCAATATATTGAACATTTTCACCACTGCCGATATAAGGCTGCGTCGACGCTAGAAATGAAGGTATCGAAGGTGCCGCAGTTGTTCCCACTGACGAAGTGGATGCTGTTTTTATATGTATGCTGAGTGGTATATCATTTGCTGGTTGATGTTGATGTGTGTTGTAACGATTTGAAGTTATTTCGCTATCTATGGTACCTCCGCTCATACTACCTGCAAGGCATGGGGTTTTGCAAATGTAGTAGAATATAACAGGAAGTATGTAGTTCCAGGTAGATTTATCGACCATATTAAATTGCGTGTGTGGAGTCTCAAGTATGTAATAACGTACAACTTTGAGTGGAGTTGTTTATGTTTATCTTTTTCTCCTTTATTCGTTATTAATAGCCCTGATTAAGTGCCCGTGTTCTGCAAACGAAAATCAATAAAAAGGATCATCGAAATTTGCTTTTTTTACAACATTGAATATTTGCAAATATATTAAAAAATAAGAAATAGGAATGCGATTCTGCTGGCTCTCCGGCTTTGCGAAATAAGACACAATCAATGGAATAAGGTACTTGGTTGATGGAAGTGAAGATGTCTCCTGCCATCTATTACGTAAAATAACACAACTCAAAATATTTTAAAATTATATAAATACTTCTTTCATATGAATAAATAATTATTTCCAATTATTTTTTTCTGAATACAGATATTTAAACATTATAACATATGGGCAATAACTACAGACTGCAAAACTATTATATTCGTGCTCCCACTAGCTCTTCAGGGAGCAATTATCCACAAATAAATAAGGAACAAGTAAAAGGTTCTAGTCGGGAGCTCCCGACTAGGGGATACCCTGAACCAAAGACAATATAAACACTAAGATGAGTAACGCGCATACATTTGAATGCGACGCAAAATTTCTAGCCTGGCCTTTCATCTGGCCTTTGAGGCTTCGTACGGCATGCCTGCCGACTGGTTGTTCGTTCTCCAAAGACCAGACGAACGAATGCCGAAGTCGCGGCTTGCTGATGCTGACACGAGCTACGAAGTTAGGCGCCAGCCTGCCTTCAGCAAAGCTGGTCGATGCTGCTTTGCGTCGCTTCGTTTTCGAAGTACATCGAGCGAAAAAGTTTAGAGCTTACGATCGACGCAAAGTGCTTGTGCTTTATCCATGAAATGCATGCTTTATTTAAATGATATATTACCCTAGATATTAACAAATAATTTTACAGGAAAATTGAAGAACTTTTATAATTTTTACACAAGGCGCTTCTTGCGCAATAACTATGTTAAGAAAATAGTACACATAGATTGATTTCAGTCTTCTTTTTGGGCAGTGTATGCTCGAGAAAAGTTCTTGTCTCAGCCAATAGCGTGCGTGCACCTTTCGTTGTATGCGTGAATTATACATGCATAAGAACTATAAAGTATGTATGTATGTGTTGTTATTCACTGCTCTGGCTTTAGCTGGCATGAAATTAATTTTGTTAGTTTTCTAGCGCAGATCATGACCTATCCCAAATTTGTGTTGATATATGAATGCATTTTGTGTACTGAGGTTGGCTCCGTACAAAATATGTATTTCTAAGCCGTGATCTGTGCTTAAAAACTACGAAAATTGTTTCTTTGCCAGCCAGAGACTGCCAGATCAGTGGAAAGCAACACATTCAAATATGCTTCTATGTATGTACATATATTCACACGCATACAAACATAATTGCTTGCACGGCCCTCATAGAGCCGAAGCTGAGAGCACATTCTATTTTTAGCTTTTTCGTTCTCTCGGCTGTGAGAGCGCAATGCTACAGATTTCGTTTTCGTTCTCAATTTTCAAAAAATCAAGCTGCATAGTAGCATTTTGTTGTATGGCGTTACTCATCTTAGTGTTTATATTGTCTTTGCCTGAACCCTCTTATTCCAACACCAAATAAATTAATAAAAAATAAGTTCCCTTGGCAGGGCTCGAATTTGCAACTGACCGCATTACTTACTGTCGACTCTACTCAACAGCCACACCAGCAAAAAAAAAAAAAAAATACTTTCCCCGGCAGGGCTCGAACTCGCGACAGACCGCACCACTCGCTATGCCTCTACTCAGCAGCCACACCAACAATTAAGTACTTATGATAAAAAAAGGAACTAAAATAACATTTAAAAAAAAAAGATGCAATTACCATGTTATTAGAATGCGAAGCAGACGCGCATGAATGTGTGTGTGTACATGTATACAGAAATTCTTAAAGCTAATGCCCCATTCAATTGCGCAGTTGCATATAACTTTGGTTTTTCTTAACCGATCTTTATGAAATTTTCTACAGTATATCTTATTGTACCATAGAATATTTGTGTATTCTGAAAAAGTCAATTGCATTTAAATTGTGGTTTAAATTGGTTGGCAATAAAAGTTGGGTTATTAACTTGATTTATAGCTCTGTGGTGGTAGCGGGGAGGTGGCGATAGGTATGAAATAAAAGATACTTGAAATATCTATAATATTCTAGAAGCAACATATCATGTTTGGTGGCTCTAGCTCTTATTATTTACCCAATTTGCTAAAAAAAAACAGGATGTCGATATCGATTTTTATCGATTGCTTGGAAACGGAGTAAGTTATCGATTATCGGAAACAAACTCGATCTGCGCGGGAACTAGGAGCATCTGCATCTAAAGTCTCTAGCTCTTATAGGTTCTGAGATCCTTGCGTTCATACATACGGACGGACGGACAGACAGACGGACATTTATTTATTTTTTTTTATTTATTTATTTATTTATTAATGGTCGACAAAACGAGTGTCTTCCTCATTATTCAATAGAATATACAATAGAATTTTATGCTAAAAGCCTAGTTAAAGGATACAATTTTCTAAATAGCATCACCGACCGATGGAGGTGTTTTATTTGCCAGTCCGGCCAGCTGTGCCCCTTTTCACAGCTAATTTTGTCAGTGACGCTATTAGAGCCTACATCTAAGCAGAAGGTTGTAAGTAGGAAAAAAGTGTTTTCAAGTAGCATTAAAATAATCTTAATTTGCTATATTAATAAAGAAAATACAATAAATAGGAAAAATGAAAGTAAGAAGAATTGTTAATAAAGTAAAGCAATGTAAGTTAGATAAAGAGTGTTAAGTAGATAGGACAGAGAGAAAAATAATGGGAAATCACCGACCCGGTGGAGGAAAATTTTTCAGCCTGTCCGGCAAGCTATGCCCCTGCTCATAGCTGGGAATGGTCAGCGACTTCCCGAAGGTATCCTGAAAGCAACGATTTTATTAGGGGTAGAGACAGTTCGGCAGAGAAAACGTGATGCAAACTATTATAATTTTTACATAGCACGCGAAAAGGATTGTGCATAGCGTAGTCTGTTGTGCACGTAGATAGTAAAAAGGGGCGATAATTTCTGGTTGGTCTAGCCGGAACAGAGAATTGAAGACGCCCTAGCAGAAAAGGAGAATCTATGTCGCCAATAATCAACTTATGTAGAAGGACAACACCGAGAATTGTCCTACGGTTGGTTAACGACGGAAGGTTGAGAAGAAGCAGTCTGCTGGAGTAGGATGGCAACCGAAGATTAGGGTCCCAATTTAAACCTCGTAAGGCAAAAAGCAGAAATTGCTTCTGAACAGATTCAATACGATCCTGGCTGTTGTTATACTGTGGAGACCAAATGCAAGAGCAGTATTCAAGGATAGGGCGAACAAGAGAGATGTACAGAAGTTTTGTTATAAAAGGATCGTTAAACTCTTTAGACCATCGTTTAATGAATCCAAGTACACCTTTTGCCTCATTAACGATGGTATCTATGTGAAGATTGAAACAGAGTTTAGAATCAAAAATTACGCCTAGATCCTTAACTGTTAGTATACGTTGCAAAGGGATATTGTCGATTGTATAACTGACAAGATAAGGTGTAGTACGATTAAAAGTCATAAACATACACTTTGAACAGTTTAGATGCAATTGATTGGCCGAAAACCATAGTTGCATAGCGTTCAAATCGTCTTGTAGACGAGAATGATGTAGGGGATTAGTGTATGATAGAAAAAGTTTGACATCGTCCGCATACATGAGTACACGGGCATGTGATATGACAGAGGGGAGATCATTTATAAAAAGGGTAAAGAGTAAAGGTCCAAGATGACTACCTTGAGGAACACCAGAAGTAACGTGAACCCGTTTAGAGGTAGTCAGCCTCAGCATTACTCTTTGGGTCCTACCTTTTAAATAAGAATTAATCCAAAGCAGAAGAGACAGGGGGAAACCTATTCGGTCAAGTTTAAAAAGTAAAATGTCATGGTGCACAGAGTCAAACGCCTTACTGAAGTCAGTGTAAATGACATCAGTTTGCATTTTCGAAAGGAAAGCATCGTTTACCAAGGAAGTAAACTCAAGCAGATTGGTCGTAGTTGACCGATTCTTTACGAATCCGTGTTGAACAGGGGAAACAACTGATTTGCAGAAATGCTGCAAATTCGAAGTGATTATTTTTTCAAATAATTTAGGAATAGCGGACAGTTTTGCAATGCCCCTGTAATTTTGTATATCAGACTTCCCACCTTTCTTGTGAAGAGGAATGATATAAGATTCTTTCCAAAGAGATGGAAAGACAGAAGTTTCAAGGGATAGATTAAAAAGCTTTAGCAATGGATAAAGAAGGGAAGAACTACACTCCTTGAGAAGACAACTAGGAATATTGTCCGGCCCAGGAGAGTAAGAAGACTTTAAAGAGTTTATAGCTAATAGGAGAGAGGAGTGTGAAATAATTAGAGGAGGTATATAACTTGCGGAAGAAATAGTATAAGGGTAAGCATTAATATTAGGACAGACTGAAGAGTAAGTTGATTGGAAAAAATTAGCAAACAGGTTAGCAGAATCAGTGTCATTGCTAGCTTTATCCAAGCCAAGAAAAAAAGAAGATGGCAAACTTGAAGATTTACGCTTCAAGTTTACAAAATTATAAAACTGTCTCGGATTTCGGGAAAATTGTCTTTTACAACGTATTAGATAATTCTTATAGCATTGAGAATTAAGAAGAAAGAAGTTCGACTTGGCTATGGAATATTTAGCCAAGTCTGTACACGAACCAGACTTTTTAAACTTTTTAAAATATTTGGATTTTACATTTTTTAGATGTGATAATCTGGTAGTAAACCAGGGTGGTTTTGAAAAAGTAGTCGAAGGAATTGACTTAGGAATACACACATCTAAGAGGGAGATTAGGGTGATGTAAAAAAAATTAATAGCTGTATTCATATCAACTGAGTCATATAAGAAAGACCAATCGGTTGAATAAATAAGCTGATTCAGCAAAGAATAATTTCCTTTGCGAAAGCAATAGCGGGGCTTATTGGCTGATGAGCACGAAATGAGAGGATTACAATTTAGCATTGCAATCTCTAAAGTTGGATGATAGACATCC